CTCGCGCCCGGAAGTCGGGAGGCGCGCGCTGATGGCGTCACGGGGCCCCAGCCGGCTCAGGTCCGTACCTGCGCACGGCCCACGGGTGGCTTGTTGCGGTGCAGAGAGCGCCGTTCCTGGTCCTAGGGCCTGGACGTCGGTACCTGGACCTCATCTGCAGCCTTCAACCCCCAGACGCGGCCGGCGCAGCCACCATCGCCCACTCTCCCCGACGGCCGACTGTCCACGCTGGACACTGCCAAGGGCGCTCCTGACGCGCCAGCTTGAGGGGACATCCCCCGACCTCCCCACCCCCTACCAGGAGACGCCTCAGTTTCCCTGCGCTGGAGCCCGCCGCGGCAGCCTGCCCTCTGCCCCGCCCCTAGACCACTGCCCACCGCTGCTCCCTCTCCTTCCAGCACGTCCTCACCCTCGACCTTTGCCCAGTAATCTACACTGTCCTTCAGGCCCTACCTACTTGGCCTGTGTGCAGCAAGGGGGCCTGTTTCTTTTTCCCCAAACGGCCCCCTTCCTGTGTCCTCAGACCCAAGCTCCCATAGGGCAGAACCTCGGCCTGTAGCTCACCCATGTGTCAGCTCCCCGAGCAGCTTTTTGCTTCAGTGTCCCCATTCTAAGCCATGGGAAAGGAGATGGGGTCAGGAGATGAGACCAGGAGGTCCACCAGCCTCTCCGTGGCTACCCTGCCCCGTTCTACCTGCCTGGCCAGCTCCAGTCCAGCCACCTGCTGCCGCCTTGGGCTCAGGCCACATCCCCATGGAAGAGAGTGCCAGGGAAACCCTATGGTGCAGACACAACCCCTCTAAGTCCCCCACTCCCGGAGCCTGTCTTGAGTGGGGGCTGGGGGCGTGTTCCTTACAGAAGGCAGCAGTGAGCACAGGCCGCACACCTGGACAGTGGGCCTTCTGCCAGGACCGTTCCTCCTCTCTGCCACCCCCATTTCTCAGATGGGAAACCCAGACATAGACAGAGGACACATATGAGACCTATGGAGGCACAGGTCTGCACAACCCCACCCT